AGTAAAAAGATAGAAAAGATAGAAAATAAAAATTAAAAAGGTAAAAAATAAAGATAGAAAATAAAGATAGAAAAGGTAGAAATTATTAAAATAAAAATAATAAATAATAATAATTATATGATAACTAAATAATTAATATATAAACTATTTTTATTAATTTGTTATTTTGTTACTATTTTTAGAGATTTTTATATTTTTTACTATTTTTGAAAGATTTGTTAATTAAGGAATTTTTGAAAATAAATATAATAATATATATAAAGAATATTATTTAAATTCAAGAGAAATTTTAAAAAATATTTCAAATATTATTAATTATATTATGTAAAAAAAACATTAAAAATTAAATAATTCTTAAAGAAAAATAAGAAATTGTTATTAATTATCAGATTTTATAAAATTATAACTTATTTTGATTAAATAGAGAATGGATAAGATATTACTTTAATAAATAAAAATTATTTAATACTTGGTACTTTTCTAATAATACTTTAAAAATTATATATTTTTTATTTTGTAAATATTAACAAGTAAATTTGATTATTAAAATTATTAATTTTAGATTTTATTTAATTAAAAAAATATTAATAATTTATAAAATAAATTATATATAAATAAATATTATAATTTAAATTTTATTTTATAATTTTATATAAATTAAATTTTGTATTTACTTTTTAATGAAGAATTTTATTTGTTTAATAAAATATAAATATTTAATAATTTAAATAATATGCACTATAACAAAATTTTTTTGAAAATTTTAAAATTAAATTAAAAATTTATTATATATTTATAAATTTTTAGAATTTAAAAATAATAAATAAAATAATTATTTAAAAAATATCTAACTTTTTAAAAAAACAAAAAACTTATAATTATATAACAAAATGTTTTTATTATAATTAGTATTTAAAAAATATAATCATAATATAATTTTTAAAAATATAATTATAAAAAAAAATGTTTTTATTATAATTAGTATTTAAAAAATATAATCATAATATAATTTTTAAAAATATAATTATAAAAAAATAATTATAAAGGTATTTAACCATATTTATATAATTATATTTAAAATATTTTATAATTTAAATTATAAATTAATATTATTATAAAATATTAATTTCTAAAATATTAAATTAATTATAATAGAATTTTTATAAAATATAATTACAAAAAAATAATTATAAAAATATTTATATAATTATATTTAAAATATTTTATAATTAATTATAAATTAATATTATTACAAAATATTAATTTCTAAAATATTATTTAAATAAAAAATTAATTATAATAAATATATAATTATTAAAAATTAAAAATATACTAACTTAACTTTAATATATATATTAATATATAATTATTATTATTATTATTTATATATAATTAAACTTTTTTATAGTCATATTTATTTATAATTATATCTATAATTATTTTATTTTGCTTTTTTAATTTATATAAATATAATAAAAATTATTTATAATTATATTTTTTTATAATCATCAAATTTTGCTTTTTCAAAAATAATAAATATAATAAGATTTAATTATATTACTTTTAATATATAATATAAGCAACTTAAAAATATCAAATACTATATCACTATTGAATTTTTTGAAGAATTATTATTTTTAAATAAGTTATTATATGTAATATTAATTAGATTTTATATAAAAAAATTATATAATTTTATATAATAAATTCAACCAATTAAAAATAATACTTATAATATTTTATATGTTAAAAATCTTATTATTATTAAAATTGATATAAAAAAATCTAATCACAATTAATTTCTATTATAAAAATAAATAAATAGTATATAATATTATAAATTATATTAATAATATATTTATTTAAAATATTTAATATCTTTAAACTACTTATATTATAATCAAAGTTTTTTATACTAGTTATAATACTTTTAAATTAGTATATAGTTATATTATAAATTTTGATATATATAGAATTTTAAAGATTAAATATCATAAAATCTAAATATTATTGTAATATAAGTCAAATTTAATATATACAATTTTTTAAAAAAGTAATGATTAGCAATTTTTTATTATAATTTTTTATATAATAATATAATTTAAAATTTTACTTTTATAATATATATAAGTAAGACTTTATATTCTAAAAATATTAATATTTAATAAAATTTTTTTTATTTTTTTAAAAGTTAATGTAATAATTTATTTATTAAAAATTTTTATTTACAATAAATATTTTAAAAAAATAATAAACAAAAAATAAACAAATAAAAAATAAACAAAAAAAATAAATAAGTAAAATAAAGAAATTTCAAATAATCTGAGAATTATTTTAGAAAATATTTTGTAAAATATTTTGTAAATATCCAAAAATAAAATTTCTGAATTAAAAAAATTAATAAAATTTTGTTATTTACTGATTTATAAAAATAATTATATATTATATTATAAATTGACTTTTAAATAAATTGTTCTTGTTTAAATATTATTTTTCAAAAAAATTGTTATTGTTCAGAATTATTGTATAATTTAATAGAATCACCAAGAAAACTTCTTAATAAGAAATATAATACAGTTTTGGTATCTCTCTAAAAAGTTGAAAAGAGTAATTATAGTAAAGTGATATGTTTATATTTTTAACAATTATAAAAATGTCTTTTTAATAATATCTGCAATTTTAAAAAAGTTGATTCTAAATTTAGATTCCGAGAAAAAAATCTCTGATTTGCATGCTAAAAACTTCATGTCGGTGCAGGTTTAGAGTCGATGGAATTGAATTTTAGTACTTTCATTCTTAGCATAAAAGCTAAATTTATTGCAAATTGCTTTTTCTCTTTTTGAATAGAAAAAATATTTTTAATCAGTTTTATAATAAGATAATTGAAATTCGAACATAAAAAAGTAAATTTAAATTCTAAAATTGGCTTTCGTTTATAATAACCAATTTGAAAAGTTTACATTCTAGAGTTAATTATTCATGGCTGTGCAGGAATAATAATTTTGTCGGAAAAATATTTTGTGGGGATTGGAAACCATGTGTAAAAACTTCAACCGGACATCGGGTATCCGGGTGAATCAGGTTAAATTTCACAAATCTGGATCTATAATTAGCAGGTTGATTAATGTTATACATGTATACGTGTGTAATTTGTTAAATTCAATAGCAACATTATATTTTACCCCGTGTATTATTTTCGGCTACATCCCAACCTGGGTGAACCGTGACTCAGTTTGAAAGAATCCGTTTTTTGCTGCTGAATGAAAAGTGGTATATAGTTCTTTAATACATTGAAAGCTGCAGTTAAGTTATAACTATTCAGTTACGTATGGTTTCTATTATTGTAAGCGAGAATTTAATGAATTGTGCAATATCACCAGGAAGAGCTCGAGTCTTTAATTATGATCGAAACATCACTTGAGCCAACACACAATGAAAAATATCTGATCACATTGGTAAAACCATTCTGTTAGATACTAATGTTTCACAGGCAGGTGTTCCTGAAAAATATTCTGAAAAGAATGTTTGAAAAAGCGGTGGAAGTAACATAGAAGGATTAGAAAAGGAAAAGATTAACAACTGGAAACACTTCCCGAGTATGATCCAAGTTCAATTGGGAGCTTTTGGTGCCGATAAAATAGAATATTACTTTCACAAACTTTTAATCACATTACCTGATAAAATGTTTCGCTTCTCGCTTGTGACACATGAACTTGCATAACGATAACATACTGTAGTTTTTTTATTGTTATGATTATACATGTACATGTATTTGATATCAAAAATTAATTTAATATGACTCATACAATGCACTCCTTTGTAACAATAAGAATATTCGACGTACAAGATTCTTGTAAAATTATGTTGGATCTTTACCTTCTATAGTGTACAACAATCCATTGAGGCAAATATCAGACCAAATTAGTTATCTCCAACTTTATTCTATTTTTTCGAATTCCAAAGATGCATATTTGCCCGTCGCTAAAGCATGCATTATCTTTCCTAAAATATCACATGCAGTATATACTGCTGCATAAACTTGATTTTTATGCTCAATACTGCTATCGCTATGGAAAAAATAGACTGCATAAAAAGTTTTATCCATTTGCGATTGATAAAGAGAATCAATTATTCCATTTTCGAATTGTTTTTCGCCAAATCATTCTTATACCGTACTGAGAAGTGTTTTACATAGTCAAAGAAAGAGAATGGTTATTGATCACATTAATAACAATTGATAAGACCTTAAACGGAACTTCGATTTCTAAACGCAGAGAAATTTGATAATTTATAATCTTATATGTATAATGATAACGATAACATTATCGTTATTTTATTATGAGTACATGTATCATTATCTCCCTTTGTGCATTTTCAAATATAATGTAAATTTACGAAAAACTGTAATTCTTGAAATTAATAACGTAAAACACACGAGTAAGAGCGTACTTAATAATGCATTCCCGAAAGCAAATAAATCAAAACGTGCAATTGCATCAGTGTGAATAATGGTGCCGCAACTCCACGAGGATAATAACACGTAAAAAGTTGTATCATTACCACTCGCGTCTCCTTAATAGTTATTTTATAATTAATATTAATAATTATAAATTATTTACGATTATTTATTTTTTCACGGAAAATTTACAAGTGATGAGGTGGATTTGAATGAGAAAGAAAAACTGATATTCACAAGATATTAGAATTATCTAATAAAGCTCAAATGCTAGCATGCTAAATAAGAATTGAAATTGTAAATGTTCGTTTTTTCAGGAATTATTAATATTTTTTAGCTATTTACTTTTTTTCCCCAGATAATAGAATTCAGAATATTTTCGCAACTATTTCTACGTAGCAACTTTCTTTTGTTTTCCTTGCCAATTAACGATAATTTGAGATGGCGAGTAATTAGTTTTTACCAAACAGAATCAAGTATCGCGGTAGAGTAAGCTAGAGAGCAATAAATAGGTTAAAAATATGATAAAATTTAATAAGGATAATCATAATGGCATGAAATCTACCTCATCTTTATCAACCGCGATTATCGGTTCAATGTTAGTTGTCAATACATCCACCAAAAACATTGCCTGTACTTTCGACCCAGCACAATGTTGCTGTGCCTTTTCTGAATTTTCAGAAAACCACATACCTAATAATAATAATGTAAAAATAGTTCAGCAAGATAAGAAGCGAAAAAAGAAATCTATGAACGAGGTTAATTAATACTTACTCCCGCTAGTTTTTGAATATGACGTCCGATTTCCATAAGCAACGATGCCACACATTCCACATGATTTATCCTTACAGAAAGTGGCTATTCCGTCGGCAATAATTTTTGATGGATCACAAACACTTTTTGTTCCATGATACATTTTTCGTACGAGTTTGCCCTTATCATCAACTTCCAGTGACTTCATCATCGCCTCTCTTGTAGCCAAATGATGATTCGTAATTTCAGCGGACAGTTGTAGTCGTAATATATATTTGATTCTGTATGATTTTAGATTTTCTTTGAATTTCGTCGATACTTTAGTGTAATCAGAATCATTTTTATCTAATATTACGGCACGTGTCTCTCTAAGTGTTTCAGTTTCCTTCCAGAAACATTGCGACGAACAATATGCAAAATATCTCTTTGCTCGTTTATTTTTAGTCATTGTTTGCTTTTCGCATCCAATTCTCGAACATTCTCTTGATGGAACACTCTTATCAGTTGAGGTGGTTGTGGACGTTGTAGATGTTCGTTTCTTTTTCGATTTCGATTTTATCGGTTTAATGTCGTCATCTTCTAGATCGTTTTCATCAACTGCTTCTCGTTTCAATGACATTTTCCTTTCTGGTTCTTTTGGAGATGATGAAATTTGCTGTTGTTGATCGTTATTATTTTCACTAGTATTATCAGTATTATCACCACCATTACTACTATTATTACTATTAACACTACTACTATTATTATTGATATTCTTGACTTCTGGATCAATCGACGTTACTGATAAAGTATTATTGTTCTTGATAATATAAGGGGCAATCGACGCATCTAATTTATTTTCAGAATAATTGCCGATCGATGTCGTCGAATCATAGTTATGTGTCGGTGTTTCCGGCAGTGTAGTAGTAGCAGACGAAGGGATTGGTGACTCGGCGGAATCAAGACTTGGTGCTTGATTTGTATCAATGGTTAAAGGATGCGATCCAGCGGTTGTCGGTGTGGCCATTCCAGAAGTCAAAGTTGGCATTCCCATAGTCAAAGCAGGAATTGCCGCTGTAAATGCCGGTGTACCTGACGCTGTAACGGGTGTTGTTCCGGCATGTGGCGATATGGGAGACATCGGTTGTGATCCTTGTTGACTGTCATTTTTGCCACAGTACACACCACAACAGAATTTAAGCAATTGACCATTGTTTATTTGGCATGGACTTTGACATCCATATTGACTACAAATCGGTATATCACCCTTATTGATAATTTGTTGAGGATAGGAAGCATTGTAGATCGGGTAACTCGCACAATTTGGGCAACTGCTACCATCACAATAATTATTTGGACACGATCTCACATAAAATGAAAATTCGTTGGTCGGATTCACATTTGGTGTCGCCGTCGTTTGCTTGATGTGATAATTTTGTGGTGTCATGATTTGATTTTGTACGAATGGAGGACAATTAGTAGCAGTTGGTGTTATTGCTGCTGTTTGATTCAATGACGATGACTTTAGATCTTGTGCTGTGTTGCTATTGAAATAATTATTAGCGTAGCCACGAATCGCTTGCTCATTATATATATTATTGAAATAATGCTCGCGTTGACGATTAAACAAAATCGATCTCGAGGCTAACTGTGATTGTTGCTGCTGCTGCTGTTGTTGTTGCTGTTGCTGTTGTTGTTGCTGTTGCTGCTGTTGCTGTTGTTGCTGCTGTAGCAGAATATAATCTTGACTGAATGCCATTTGATCCTGTGATTCAGAAAATGAAAGTGGCTTCAAATGATTACAATCATTACAGAATTCATCAGGACATCCTGGTTGTCTGCATAATGATGGTCGATGAGTAAGCGAATAATTCCTTGGAGACGTGACCAAAACTCTTCGATTTTCAATAAATTGATTGTTTGAATTTATCACGATATTGTTGTTATTACTATAGCTGTTGTTAATTATTAGATTGCAAGTGCCAGCATTCTCATCCTCTTGATTGATTATCATATTATTTACGAGTGACGGGAAACCAAGGTACTGTTGTTGTGGTTGTTGTGGTTGTTGTTGTTGTTGTTGATGATGATGATGATGATGATGATTCGAAGTTGGATATTCCGCTGTTGGAGAGGAAACTGCCGTGGCAACAGCAGCAGGATGAAAGGTTTCAGTGAGACTTGTTAACATATGACCATAGCAAAGTCTATTTGTATATCCATTCTGATCGCTGAATGATAAATTTTTACATCCTGGCAACGCGCATGTCATCGATGGATGAGCGATTAATTGTTGCTGCCCAAGACTCTCTAATATCTGTGACAGATCCATCATCAAAGTTATATTGCGTTTATATCGCGTTGATTGTGTTTTGTCTGAGAAAAATTTGAATCAAAAACATAAATTTTCCACTGACATGAATTAAAAAAGTTTCAACTTTGGGAGGACAAAAAAAACATACACAAAAAAAGTTTGGAGAGAAAGTTTTTTTTTTTTTGAGTAGAGGTTCAAATTTTTTGTATTAACTTGAGCTGGAGAGTGCAGAAATTACCTATTTAAATGGGATCGGCGATAACTTGTATTGCATTAATAATTTTATACCGGAAATTTTGGTTCCGACATCCGTCTACTTTATCTTTATATAAAAAAATTATTTATAATAGCATAAATAGCCATAAGAAACTTGTGATAAATTAAAATTATTTATACTTGTTTATCCCATTGCAAGTTAGATGTCTGACTAAAGTAAATTTGTATGATATATGACACATAAAATTTTGTCATTTCCCGATTTGCACAACAATGCGCTTGAATTTTTTACTGCATTTAACTGCGCCATGTCGCCAAGATTTTCTTTTGTCTTGCTTGTCTTACACATTATTACTTATTACACAAACGTGTGTATGTGTCATTATTATGTGCCTGTGTACCTTATTATGCGTATTTAACAAAAGTGGAAACTCTATAAGCTCCGGGAACTTTATTTGTTGTATAGATGACAGCCACATTGTGAGTCGGTATGGGCCGGAATTCAAGGGTCGAATATTCTGGACACCCATCTGCTTTCACATGGCGAGATCAACAGCAAACTGGAATTTTTAAATTCAGAAATCATTGGTTGATTATTTCGATCGATTCATTATGATTTTTTTATGACTGGATTGATTGATTGATTGGTGTGATACATTATCGCGGATTCTGTTGACGATCACAAGATCTTACATATTCAATATTGGGCACACACAATTGCTATTTTCACTTTTCCCACGGGAATAGGGAGAAATTACACAAAGGCAGACAGAAAAAGTTCAAAACTCGTTGTAGGATACGCCTGTCCTCTTTCCAAACAGAAAAATTTTTCATGCATAATTATTAGACTATTTTATTGAAAGAAACGGGATCACCCGGCGGATACTTCACCTTTATGGAAATGATGCTTGGAGAATTTAAATATAAATTCGTGATTTTTTGCGATTTGATATTCATTCTATTATCCTTTCAATCATCTATTCTAATTTGTCTTGTTTTATTGAGACACGAAAAGGGGTCAAAGAACGACAGATCGAAAGGACCAATAAGCAAGGGAAAAGGTTTCAGAATGAAAAAATTGACGCCAAACTTTAAAAATCTAGAATTCATTCTCTAGAACCAACGAACCAACGAACCACTGGACGCAACTGGATGCAAGACGGAAAAGGAAAAAATGAATAATGACATAACCTAACGTGAAATATGTGTGATCTAATTTTTTTAGACCTCGTTTTATTTTTTGTTTCTGCGATGATCGTGTTGTCTTTTGCCAAAAATAAAATGATCACGGATAAACAAGTCAATAAACCAGTATTACTTTCCCCTGTAATAATCTGATGCAAATGGCCGGGAAAGGTGCAATGCGCTTATGTCAGAAATAAACACAATGAAATTCTTTAATTAATAAATCACGAATCAGCCCCCGTTTGAGAATTTTCTTGTAACCTTTCCAGTATCCAGGGTCATTAACAATCTACATGCACAATATAATCTACATGCGCAACAATAATAATAATAATAGACAATTATAGATAGCAGGCACGCACGTATGCAGCCTTTCTGTTTGATGTAATGCTTAAAAAAAAACTCTAAAATTCATGACACACAACACTAGTTTAGATTATTCTTAGTACAGCGGCTCTTTTAAGCTCATGAATGAGTGTCTTTGACTTGCATTAATAACAATCACGATTTAGAATTCTCCTCCGGTTCTCGTTCTATGTATGATAGAGATGGATTTTTTTTCTTTGAATCAATCAATCATTCTTTATGCAATTGCAATTTTCCGACATACAACACACACCTAATACATACAAAAGCTCTATTGAAGATGGCTAATCCCGCATGCTTATTGCAAAAGCCCAGATTACAAAGATCCGAGCTTATATAGAGAATGGAAATAATCTTCTTGCTGCATGTTTGCTGTTGTTGATTTATTAAAAAAAGCAAAAATCATACAAATTCTTTGTAACACAAATAAAAGCCCTTCTATGCTAACGGGCTTAGCCAATAGGATGACAAACTGGTAAATTTTAAACGTTTTAGGGAAAAATGTAATTTTATCAATTAAATGTCACACCCACAAATATTATTTGAATCATGGGGTAAAAACTTTAATCTACAACGCATGCATGCAGGTAACCGTGACTAATGTGGTTAATATGCCAAAATATCCCTTTACTTGTCTCCGCCCTATTCACGGTTTCCCCGATATCTTTTCTTCCCCTTCATCTTTCCTAATCCCGGCGGGTGGTACCACTTTTCTTATTAAACAATCCAATAAACTTTCAGTTTTCCCATTGTATAACTATTCGAGGACATGATTTGCTCAGCAACAACAACATAGCACAGCAAAAGGAAAAGTTACATTCCGTAAATAATAGACTTTTACAGACAAGACAGGATCGAAACCCGATTTTGATTATGAACATGCATCAATGTTTTGTTTACATGCTTTGTTTAAATGTTAACTATTGTAACTGCTTATTCTTTTGATTGCGAGAAAAGAATACCAGGAATTAGAAATTAGAGATTTTTATTGTTTTGATCATGAGAGAGTCTCTACACAAAGGACATTTGATACATTGTCAATTAAAGAATCAAAATTAAATGCATCGTTTAAAGGAGTCGAACCATCCAAATCTCTCGCAATTAAATCTATCGATTCGCCATTTAATCATACTGCATTGCATTTTTAATATATATTCATATGGTGCAGTGTTAATCTTAATTACGCATATCGTGCAATTCGTAATACGGCGTGTCCTTTATTAGTATATTAATGAGCACAAACTTTGAAAATAAAGTTTCTTATTATCGCTTATCGCTATCACGTCAGAATTTTCGATTGAATGCGATATATTACGACACCAATGTTATTTAATTCAAAATATGGCAATTATTTGTAATGTCGCATTCAATCGAGAATTCCGACGTGATAATTAAATAACCTTTAAGATTGCATGTTTTCAAAACTTGAGATGCGTGACGGAAGCATCTGCATTAAATCATGCCGCTTTTTAAATTTGTTTTTTCAGAACTTGCAAGATGCATGTAGATGTGGTTGTTTATTCGTGCAATCCCGTTTCTTCAATTTTCAATATGTTTGGCAAGATGTGGTCGGGATTCTTATATTTATTATCATACAATAAACGAATTTTCGGCTGCACACTTCGGAAATGAAAAATTAAGTAAGCAAAGGGGAGGGGAAGGGGAAGTCGTGCGTTATACAAATAAATTGCGGATAAATTCATTAATCTTTTATACAACAACGAAATTGAATCGCCAGGTCGAGATTGTATACGCAAAATAACGCATTCTATTTTATTACATTGCATGGTTTTGTTAAGAATTAATTAACAATTTATTAATTGATTACCCGATTAAAAATTCCATGCTCGTGAAAATTTGCGGGACAACCATTTCATGCAGAGAATCATTGTCAGCTGATCATCTTATATGGGCGCTTTTGATTAGCAAAGGGAAATCTAGAATTTAGATCTTTGAAAAAATCGCGTTTGTGTTAATTATATTTTATTAAAGTTATTGCAAAATTTAATGTTTGAATTTTTAGAGATATTTCAATGAATAATAAATAGTTACTACAGCGAGTTTTCGTTAAAAAAAGGAATATTTTAATAAATAACTATTGAAATACCTCTGAACAAGACATTATATCCTAAAAATCAAGAAATTTTCAGGGTTGAATACAGGTTTAAATGCTAAACACACTAATAACTCATTGACATAGTAAAATTTTGCGTTAAATTGATAAAACTTAATATCGATATATATTATAATCATAAATTTTATCCAAATTGGAATCTGTATTATGATTTCTCAAACACCGCCAATATATTTTTAGGCTAGCAATGTACAAAAATATCATGTATTTTTTCACTTTAGCTTTTTTAAGAGGAGGTTAATTGCTAAAGGTTATATACCGCGACTGGATGTTTACATCAATAGCTTATATAAATCCATAAACTAAATATGAGTTCAGAATAAGAATTTAATCATACAAAATATGTAATTATTGTTGCCTTAAAAAATCTATATTTTACATGAGAATATAATCTGTATGAAAAATTTTTGAATAACTCTAAACTTTTCGAATCCGAATCAAATTGAATACAATCAACATGTTTCTAAGATCTTTTAAAGACTCGGCTTTTTTTAATAAATAAGTTCATTGTTATTGTTACCTTTTCAAGAGGTGTTATAAATTTCATTAGCAGTTATCTATCAGAAAGCTCTTGAAAAATCATTAATTATTAGTGCTCCTGTAATTTAAATTTGAAACCGAGCAGGAATTATTGAAATCCAAAGCGGAACCCAAAGTGGCAAAACCCTGCTAAATACCTGCTTACTAAACATCTAAAAGTGAGAAAATGAACAAATGTTACCCCTGGTTGTCAATATTATTGTAGAGATGCGTTCTGAAATTTAGAAAAATTGAAAGATTTATAATATTCTAAGGTAAGTGAAATCTGCTATCTTGTTATTATTTAAATTTATTCTTTATATTTTTTAGTTGAGGTTGAATACAAGTATAGTTATTTTTTTACGCAAGTTCAATATTGATCATAAATCTTTTCACGTTTATTTTGATTCATAAGGGAAGTGACTTTTATCACCTGATTTTTTAGGGGGAGGGAGTCAACAATAAAATTAAGATAAATAATATTGTACGTATAATATATCAAGTGGGTGGAGTGGGGTGAGCCTTATAATAAATTGAAATCACCTGATAAAAGTCACTTCCCCAACGATAAAATAAACGTATTTGCCAATTAGTTCCGTTCAGAAATATTAAATCCAGTTGAAATGAACACATTAGTGGTAGAATTCAATATTTCAATGCGGAAACAAAGCATAAAATCTTTTCCGGTAGTTCTCGTAAGATTCCGTTATTATGATACATGTAGCAATTCGATGCCATTTCAGCTGATAATATTAGAGAAAATGTCTGTATTATATTGCTATTGTCCGAATTCTATTGCCTTCGTCCAAATTGTTGCGAAATAGTCTGAATCTGACAAAATTAAATATGGTACCCGAATTGCTACTGCTTTTTGACATTTAGACTAGTGCTAGAAGCCTAATAAATTTTGTACAAATTTTGTGCAATAGCTTAAAATCAAAATATACGAATTAAATTTTAAGAATTAATATAAACAACTTATACTTTTAGATTAAATTTATTGAAATATCGGCTTTATGAAAATTTATTCCGTTTGTCATCATTGACTAGGCTGAAATTGGCAATATGTACCAATATAACACAACATCTGACTAATTGATACTTAACATGATTTTGATGATTGGCTGAAGTCTTCGCAATTGCAAATTACACATGTATATAAATATTAGTGGGAAACACAAAATAGAATATTCACAATCTTTAATGGAGAACGAAAATGAAAACGAGTCGAGCAGTGCCAACGTTCTTGATATCGTAAACGAGCATACCAAAAACGAATCTTCTTCTAACTTTACAGAACCACAGCGGGAAGTTCTTTATCCAAGAAAACTTGAACGCCCTCCATTCAATAAAAAAGAGAGGGGATTTTGCTGTCGAGAAGGATGTAACAATGAAGTATACAGACGCAAAAAAAATTTTGAATCTTATTGTTCGAGAGATTGTTATTGGGAAGAAGTCAACAAATTAGAGAAAACTCAAATTACAATTCTTGATGAAAATGATTTAGCCTACATTCGTGTTGCTCGGAGATTCAACAAATCTTTGAAAACATCCAAAAACATTAAAGCAATTTTAAGGTTACAAATGCCTTTCTATCTAGTTCAAAGGCACTTAGAATATAAGGAAAAGGTGGCAAAGGAGAAGAGGGGTTGTGAATTAAAAGACGTCACACACCGAATGTATCATGGAACTAAAATCACTCGCAAAAACCATGTAGGCCTCGAAAATATAGACGAGTATCATGCTTTTTGTACCGAAAGAACGTGTGGACTGTGCGGGATCACATTCTGTGGCAATAAAATTTCTTACTCTAATTTCGTTCATCTGGGCAACTGTAAGGCGTTTAAATTAAATTCAAATTTTTATGCTTATATTTGAGATTTTAATTTTTTTTTCATTTTATTTTTAAAGTAATGTGGTTTGCAAACGATCCGAAAACGTCTTCATATTATTGTGGATATAATGAACCCATAAATGCAATGTTTGTGGTAGATGTCGTTGCACCTGATTTCTTACCAATTCTCACCGTTAATAAGGATGAGGTTTGATTTTACGCTATTATTTTTGATTTGATGTGGTGGTGCTTTTGTTGTTTTACTGTTATCTCTTTATTATTTAGGCTACCTTACCTCGATATCTCATCATATTTGAAAAGAAAGAGAAAAGACGCTGCACAATCATGTAAATTTATTCTTCGAAACAAGTTCAATTATCAGTTTTGGCTAAAGCGAGCTTATGAGTAATTCGATTTCGTAATTAAGCAGAAAATTTTGCACACAAATTTTCGTTACAACGACAGAGAAAAATGCACAACATTGTATAAAAGCTACGGAATCGTTATAAATATCCTTTGTGATTTAGGCTGACGAAGAATTGCAAGATAGCAGGATCTATGTGTACAGTAAACTAATAAAAGGTTAGAAATCAAGATCTTGGCATTCCAGTTAGGTCTAGAAATTTTCTGTACGTATACCGATACTGTATTTGGAAAAACATTGTACAAAATTGTTTTCTATTTTTAGCTGTTTTTTTAAAAAAGGCAAATTGTGGCAAAAACACAATTACAGCAGAATGTCTGATCCTGAAGTGTAAAGCCACAACATATTATATCTTTTGCGTTTTATAATCATTGTTTGCATTTTTAGTAATTCTTAGTAAGGAGGTTTGTCGTTTGGGAAAAAGGATTTCTCTTCCATTTGCATAAAAAATTTCGGTTTAACAAATAGAAATCGGCTCGATACAATGCGACACCACCACTATTTTTTGATCAGTATCATTAGTGTTAGCGTTAGAAAATCCCATCATCCCATTAAGGTGATTTTGATTGGTTGATATGATTGGCAGCGGGTACTACAAATGCCGTAGTACATAAGATTTTACAATAAATAGGATACAAAACAAAAAAAAAGTTTAACAAAAAACACCTTTATCTTTATACGCTTTTCTATTTAACCTTCATATATAATACACTTTAGTTTATTATCTTTTACAGTAAAAATGTATAATCAACAACGACAACAACAACAACAGCAACAACAACAACAACAGCAGCAGCAGCAGCAGCAGCAGAAGCAGCGGCAGCAGACACAACAGACACAACCAGCTCAAAAACAATTACCAACACCACCGCCTTCTGGTCCGAATACACCGCATATAGTGTCATCTTGTTCTGTACAAGGATGCAATCAATACACGTCAACTGGACATAATAATTATTGTGCGCAGCATTCATTATCACATGCTTCTCGTCAATTAAGAACTCCTGATCATGCTCAATATAATAACAACAACAACAATTATAGCAATAATCAAAAGCATCTTAGTGAACCAATTGTAAATGTACAAAATTCGAGACAGCCATCACCTAATAGACAAAATAACCGACAAAGTGAACCATCTTTTCCCACAAATCTTCATACGCAACAACATTTTATTCGTAACAATGGTTCATCACCGCCGTTGTCTTATAATAGTCCACCTTCATCGACTACGTCCCCTTGCATAGATCCAAGTTGTCAAAAACCAAAATATAAGGATATTCAAGGAAGGATTTATAATCTTTGCGCAGGACTTGTATGCGCTACTTCAGGTCGATCTTCCACATCGTTCATTCCAAATGTTCAAAATCAAAATGCATTACAGAATGGACAACGTCAACAAATTCCCAAATGCAAAAATCCTGGATGCAATTTTTCATGTTCCATTAATTCCAATGGACATCTACAAGATACGTGCGGATCACCTAATTGTTTGCCGCATCGAATTCCAACAATACTTAAACCACACGCACACACAAAACATCCAATGGTTCTTGCCTCAGCTATACTCGGTCCAATTGATAATGGACGAAAATGTGCCAATCCTAGCTGTGGTAAAACAGCATTTACCGACCCAAATAATCCAAATAAATTTGAAGCGTTTTGCAGTAATAGATGTTTTTGGTTAGAGGTGTCTACACTAACTAAAACTAAACTAACTACATTGCCAAGAAATGACGCGGACTATGCTCGAATTGTTGGATCATTCGAATTACCATCGGTCACTATTAAAGGAATTTTACGAATCCAAATGCCAAAATCTATAGCTCATCCACATTTGGAATTGAGAAAGGCAATGGCAAATAATATCAATGTCGACCCTGCGTTGATTACACATCGATTATATCATGGTACAAATGTAAAATGCGGCCCACTTGGAATTATTCATGGTGGTGTTTTCTGCAATAATCCCGAATGTGGCATGTGCGGAATTGCGAGGGAAGGCAATAAATCTTCAAAATCAAAACATAATGGATGTGAGTTTCAAAATTTCGTAAGGATGAAGAAATAATGACAAGTGAATACTAATTATACACTTTATTTTTTAGACATGTTTTTCACCAATAGATCACAAACTGCATATCAGTGTGCAGGTCAAGGTAAAACTAAAGCGATATTCGTCACTGATGTTTTATCAATAGAACGCAATTTTAATTTCGTAGTGAATACCGATCAGGTGAACTCTACTTTCCGTAATGCTTACTTTATATATTATTCGACATAATTACTAAATTTATTGGTTGATTTTATGTAGGCTACACTACCTCGCTTCTTGATTCTTTGTGAATAAGTGGAAATCAAAATTTTTGGTCTCGTTTTTTGTAAATAAAAACATTATTTTAACTTAAAAAACATGATTTTGAATTGAAAATATTATTTTGAATTACGTAAAGGCTACCGCTACGTACCATTTTCGATAATCTAATCAGTCAGTTCAATTTTGTGTGAATAGTTCTCGTTTTAGCGTTAGCGTGCAAATAATTATCGTTTCACTGCATAACGATAAGGGTATTTAAAGGAAATCGGATAAAGAAATATTAGTGTTAGCGTTAGTGTTCGTACTTGCTTTGATCAGGAAATCAGAATCAAGAGGAATTTGATACAAAGCAATACTCGTTTTTTTGTCAGCCAAATTCGAATGTTTCTATAAATAATTCGTGTGATCCATAGTACGTAATAGAACATTTAAGAAACATATATTCACTGTCAATATTAGTGTCTGTCAACAGAGAATGGGTCGTACCGACCAAATAAGAGGTGGTTGTCTCGAACCAAAAGGTTTTCATTGTTTCTTTACCCTGTCGAGTAAATCGGTATCCAAATACATGTACATGTAATATTCGTTTAAGAGAGTCTCTAATATTTGCATGCGAGCCTAGAGCAAAGAATCTTTTTTCTTTTTTTCGCTCAATGGAATTCTCGCTGAAGACACATATCTTTGTGTCAATTTCTCTTGGACAAGGAGTACAATAGAGTTCTAGAATCTAAATTACAGTAAATAAGTTCATTTTCTGTAGTGATACATGTACATGATTAAAACGAGACGAGATTCTAATGTTTGTAATAAGCTCGAAAGCAGCAGAACTTGTTACTAATTAAAAGGAAAATTTAGAATTAGAATCTACATGTACAAATTTTATAATAAATCAAAGGAAAAGAACTAGCGCAAAACTGAATCATTATTAAAAATATATTAGCAATTTAATACTAATAAAATATAACTTTATTAAAAAGATCCAAAGAGTGTCAGAAAGAAAGTTAACTTTATTAGATGAACTCGGTCCAGTCCCCACTAAAACTGTGGCCTTATAATTAAAACCATCCATACACTTATTCATAATACATGTACATGTACTTTTGTGGCTGTAACTGTAATGTTCTATGATTAATTAATATCAATGCATAAATTATAAATCCGGTTACATGTACGTACGTACATGTTTCTAGGATTACAATTAATCTCAAGTTCTATTATCGTTATGCTTTATTTATTTAATATAAATATATAAATTACGTATAAAATTGCTTACATTATTCTAGAAATGAAAATTAATAATTTGGATGAATCATTCATTGTCATTATTATATTTATATTTTAGGATTAATTGAATCGAAATTATTAATTGATTTTGAATTATCATTTGCCATTTTCTTTGCCCAATCTTATGATAAAACTCTTTGTGTGTCTATGTTCGCCTGCGATAATATAATATTATATTATTATATTATTCAAGTTCTAAAAGCTCGATCAAATCTTTGATAAGTTTTCTTGTCGATTTTTAGTGAATAATTATAAGTAAAATTTCATGTACATGTGATTACACGTGATTTTCTAACACATGAAAATATTGGGCATGTGATCGAAGTATTATCAGGTGATTATGGTCGTTTTCACTCTCAATAATTATTTCGGCCTTAAAGTATAAAATCATATCATCCGAAATATTTGATTTTATAATATCCATTATTACAATGTTCATTTTTGCAAGTTATAATAATGAGAAATTTTTATTAGGTTCAAAAGTGTTAAATATATTCAAAAAAAACTAAGATTAGCCTTTTAAAAAAACAATCATAATATAGTACAATAAATTCAAAAGTCTTAAATCAAATTTTTATTATTCTTAAAATTCTCATTTGAAACTAAAAGTTTTAAATTAATCCTTATAATTTTGCAATATCCAAATTTTGATTCAAAAAAAGTATAAAAACTTGATAACTTTATAAAAATCTAAATTTAAAAAATATCTAAAAGTAATACTATAAAAAAACTTGAAACAAAAATATATATTTGTTATAAAATTATAAAAAATAAAATTGGATTTTATTATTTTAATTCAAATTCATCAATAAATATTATAATTAGTAATTTAAACTAAAGTATTTAACACCAAATAATTTTTAAATTGGAATTTAAAATATTTAAAATATTTTAAAACTTATATATAATTTAAAATCTGAAATATTTAGAACTTTAAAAAGTATTTTAATTTAAATTATTAATTATAATAATATAAATAATTTAAATACAAACAAATTTTTTAAATATATTTTTTATAAGTATATATTATCTTTAAATAAATAATATAACTGAATTTTAGCTTATAGTGCTTTATATATTTTGCTTTTTATAAATATATATTTTTTTAAATATATATTTTATTATATAATTCAAAGAATATATTTAAAAAGTTTATTTATATATAATAAAAATAAATATATATTATAATAGTTAATTTTAGATAAAATATAAGTTATTAGTTAATAAATATTAATAATAAATAATAATAAATAATAATAAATAATAATAAATAAGATCAGAGAAAAGAAACAAACTAAAAAGTGCAAAAACATTTTATAATCAATCCCTAAGAAAAGAAGTCCATTCCTTCAACAACTTACCAAATAAATCTGTCACAACTCTAGTATCTCTTCTCTTTCCATATTTAATTTTCTTTTATTTATTTCTTTTTACGTAAAACATAAAAACTTAACTTTACAAAAATATTTAAAAATTATAAAAATAAAAAAATATTACAAAATTTCTTTTTTCTTTATCTTTATCTTTTTTTTCTTCTACTTATATCTATCAAATTTATCTTTATATTCACACAAAATTAACACAAATAATATAACATGTTTAACAACAAAAAAAACAACTCGACTAATTCTTCTTTTTCATCTTAAGTCACATTTTAGAAATCATAGATATCTCATCCCACCAAGAAAATATCAAGTGGCAAATCCCTACTAATACATCTGGTAATATTTCAGACATACTTTCTGAATTCAAAAAAGATAATACCTATTCAAATTATACGCATGAACAAGCAAACCATTCATACATTTTCAGGCAAAAAAAATTAAATATATACATACAACAGAAATGGAAATTTTTTCTAATGATAATGAATTTACAATATCAGAATTGATAGGATATACAATAAGCAATGATATTATTTTAGATATGAATACAGAAATCAATAATAATAATGTTATAATATTACTATCTAATATAGAAAATCAAATAATATCCACATTCAACATAACTAAATCAAATTTAATATTATATTGTTACAGTTGTAACATAAAAATCGTTAATTCCAAAAATAGTCGAAAAACATAAAATATTTAAAAATATTCATATAATAGCAAAAACCCCTCAAATTATTTTCCCTTTTATATTTATTTTTCCATTTATTTTTCCATTTATAATTATTTTTCCATTTATTTTCCCATTTATTTTTCCATTTATATTTATTTTTTCATTTATTTTTCCATTTATAATTATTTTTCCATTTATTTTCCCTTTTATTTTTCCATTTATATTTATTTTCCATTTATTTTTCTTTTATTGTTTATTTTTCCATTTTCTTTTACTTTTTATTTTTCATATTACTTTTAGATAGTCATAATTACTCAGAATTTTAATTCTGAAAAATGTATAAATAGAGGCACTGTCTGAGTCTTAAATCAACATGTTGTAAATTGAAAAATATGTGGTAATTGAAAATAAAAACCTCTCTTAACAAAAACCTTCTTCCAAATACTTTCCACCTTTCATATTTTCTTTATACACTTCAAATCTTGTGTATAAGTGATCTTATATCGTATTGAACCTATCAAATCGCTAACAGCTTTATATCATATTGCGTCAAGCAAATTGATGTTATTGACTTTGGGCTTTATATCATATTGTACCAACAAATCACTGTTATTGGATTATTGAGCTTTATATCATATTATACTGAACAAATCGCTGTATTGGAAATTATTAAAATTGGATTTATAAGTATTTAACTTTTTGTTATTTGAATTTTTAATTGTTAACGAATATTCTTCACTTGTGAAAAGAACAAAGTGAAAGAGTCTTTGTTATTATTATTACTAATCATATTATCTTTAGTTCAAAAAAGCTTTACGCTAGTATAGAATTTCCCTTCAAATCTCCTTTATTATTCCTTCATTCTCTCTCCCCTTTGATCTTTATTCTCTCATAACTTTCCCATATTATTATTTCTTTTCAAAAAAATACAATTTCCGTAGAAATTGACATAGGCCTTAAATATATCTTTTCTCTCTTAATATTTTCTTTATCAGTTTATACCCTCTCCCAATCCAGGTTCTCATTTGTAAGCTAATTTAACAATTAGTGAACAAACTTGTAACAATACATTAAGATTATTTTTCTGTTTAGTTTTTTAGATAATTCGGATAAAGATAAAACTCTTAATAAAATTAAATGTATCGTGAGCTGTAACGGTAATTAATTATTACTTTTGGTATTGTCGTAAGTTGTACCTTTTTACGTGCCAAAAACAAAATTATATTATACGTATTTGGGCAAACACATTGAGCAGCCGAAAATCATTGTCTGTTATGAAAAAGATAATACTATTCATTCTAAGAGTTTGAGCGTTTTAAAAAAAAATTTGTTAATATGCTCCATCACTAATAAGCCATTACAAATCCAGTTGTCCAATTATCGTTATTGAATAAAGCTCAAATCCTAATGCATTCATTTATCTATTTAAATGGATTAAATTAACATTTATTATCAGTATCGGTATACTTACAGGTTTCATCAATAACAATTTAATAATATATTAAAAAAAAGGTGTTATAAATCCAAGTTATTTAATTTCTCCAACAATATCATTCAAAACAATTGCGTATTCATGTTTTTCAAGAAGTAATTTAATAATATGCATGTGCGTAAGATTTGGATTGTTTTGTTCAAATAACGCTTGGCGTCAAATTAATATTTAGTTTGATTTCTTCTTTAATTAAATAAATCATTAACTTCAAATCGTTCTGTAAAAAATTTTGTTTAAGATAAATAGTTGTAATAATACTATTTATATTAATAGCGATAGATAAAAAGTGTGCCACCACAAGCGTTCAATAGTTTCACGATCCCTTTGTTTTTTCGAGTCTTTATGTTTCCGAATTTTTTCCAAGAATTTGACATTGAGAACAATAATACCAAAATGAATAAATAATTTTCTTTATAATAAATAACGATAACAATTGATATCCATGTTTTAGAAAGTTCTTGTGGTTCACCTTTTAATATAATAAATAGATTATGTATTAGTATACGTTCATGTATAACACATGATTTTAATTCCAGTTTTGTCGATAACGATAGCGTTTGGTACATTTTGGAGATAGATATCCTAGTTTTCGGATTTTCTGGGATTAGATGACCAGAGCTATACGCGTTGGTTTCTAGCTCTTCACAGTCAATCAAAGGTATGATTATTTTACATTATTCCTCCTCTGGGTATTCTTCATTCATATACGAGGGCAATTTTAACAAAAACAATAAATACAAATCCCTCCACACGAGACTTAATTTTTGCAATCTGCGTTTTCTTATAGCTGAGGAATTCCTTGCACTACTCTATCTTTTAACAAGCAGGTGTATCTTTCAGGATTTCTTTCGCGATTTCTTTCGCGATTTCTTTCACGTTTTACACCAGTCGGTAACTAAAATTGATCGAGAATATATTATGTATGCGAGCCAAAACCATTATCACTTACCTGTTGTAAGATTCGCCTTTATTTATTAGAACCACCCATATCGTGCTGTTTTCTTTCCACTCCCATAACCTAATACTGATGTCATTCTTTTATTCACAATAATTGTGTCATAGAAATGCTGGAAAGCATTACACCAAAGTTATACGGGCCAACGGAATCAGTGAGCGAGAATGAGATAAATTTACCTTTCCCGTTTAACGATGCTATAAGATTAATAATATTTCCGTCGAGAAGGTTAGTAATCGAATTTTTCTTGGATGGTGTTATGACATTATTTATTCATCACTCCTTGAGAATGCGTTCACCACTTTTTCAGAAGTGCTCTTACGACTTCTTCAGGAGTGCGTTATTATTTCAAAGACGCAAGTGACTTTAGTATATATATACGACAATTCTCATTATTTTCAATCTCACTCATTCATGAACAAAACTTTTTGCTTAACATCATAGAACATTCATCTAATGCCAAAGTAATTATCAAGGGACTCGGCGCTTCAATGTTTGGTTGAGACGGCTTAGTATAGCTTTAGGACAATGAACTTTTGATACATAGCATTAAATATTTGAAAGAAAAGATCCTAGACAAAAAAAATCAGTTTTTTGTACAAAGTTAATTTCAAAAAATATTGTTTCTCCTAAAACCCCTAATTAAATTTATTCCTAAGAAATTTATAGACAAGTTGCATATTGAAGTAAGTCTTTGTAGAAACCAACAAGTTCAGATAATCTTGAGAACTATGAAAATGTTTTGCAGGGACTGGTAGGACCTAGCCATGAGGTACTCGCAGTGGTTCCGAGAGCTGTGCAAATTGCTGCATTATAGATTTGCATCTCAAGACAATTGAAAATCAAAAGTTTGTAATGAGTTGGCATTTTGAACACCAAAGTAAAAGTTGTAATTCTCGCGTGGATGGCTTTATAAAAATATAGGTTGAAACTCAGCATCAGATTATCATACCTGCTGCTATTTAAACCATAGATGACATTTCTGGTACAAACTAAATAGTGAGCGGTTTTGAATCTTGAATTAAGATGCAACGAAACATATCGAGAAAATCGGAAAATAGACGAGCATTGAACGAGCAGTTTCATAAGTGGAGATTTAGAATAGAAAATACTTATGTGATAAAATACTTTAAATAACGATACTTAGAGGCAATTTTCAAATGGTGCCAGAATTACCATTACATGTAAGAATCTTTTATACCAGATTCTGCCAGGCTATAAATAGTACGTTTGTGTATTGTTCATGTCGTTCTTCAATGAAAGATCGCTTCATAGTTCATATTTTATATTTCAGACAAAGTATAATTATTACTCTTCTGTGATTTATTCACCACTCTTTGAGATTGCGTTCACTATTTCTTCGGGAGTACGTTCACTATGAATGTCCTTGAGCATGTACAAAGGATTTATGCGTATAACTTCTCTTTTTCTATTATAAAAGTGATGCTTGACTTCCAATCCGGTCCGAAGACCTCCGATTCTAGGCAGGACGTATCGGAGCTGAATTTCAGGATTTTGATAATAGGATGTTTCCGTGAAAATCCTGTTGTAAGAATCGGCCCACTTATGTAGTTTGTTGTATATAACGTTAATGTCGCAGTTCATTGTATTTTCCGTTTATATTTATTATCATTATCTATTTTAAGATATCGATATAATTTCAGTACAAAATAGTGGGTTCATAAGGTCTATAAATATAGATAAGCAGACAATGAATTATGCAAAGTGAACAGAATTACCTGAAAACAATGTTAGATTCATAATTTTAATTTTATATAAGAATGACTTTATTGGATCATTTGAATATTCCAGAATAGGATTGGTCTTGTACATATGGATCATTCAGAATTCGGATCCCCTGAAAAATCTAGGATAATGTACAATCCAAAAAAAATCCCTCACGACAGTTCACCTTCAAACAACGATCCAACTGTCAAAGATTCCAGCGATCCCATGTATATTTTTCGTGCATCCTACATGAGATTCTTTCTCACTAAGTTGTGTATACATTCATTTGATAGGTTCTTTATGCTCTCTTCGAAGAGTGCGTATCGATATCTATTGAAATTTAGTTTGCTGTTATCGTTATAACGTTATAATCTTTTTTCATCAAAGGCATGATTATTTAATTACATTCCTGGTGTGAAAAACAAAGCTGTTTAAACCGCTGTTGACGACAACGTTGAATTTGATCAATACAAATACTAATTGAAATAAATATATGAATATTAGCATGTTTAGAACTTAACTCACCAAGCAGAATGACATAATCTGCTATTCATAAAACTAGCTCTGAAACCGTGTTCCATCAATCAATCTTGAGATGATACTTTCTTTATTGCATCCTCTACTTCAGTTTAATAGTCGTAACGCCGTCAACGACATTCCAAAAAACTGAGGCCTCAACATTGACAATTTTATTAGTTTAATTGCTACAAGACTGTAAGATATTACGTATATTACTTTTCAGGTAGTTTAATATACATTCTAAATGGTTTCACCAGTAAAAATCGCATTTTTTTTTAACTTTTCAGAGTACTCGAAGTGCCAATGGACATGAAATTTGACAATTAGACTATAAACGAATTTTTGGATCACTCCAGATATCTTTTTAGAACGTTTCAATATACCAGTAAAAATCACATTGTCTTGACTTTCTGGGATACCTGGAGTGTCAATGAATATGTAATTTAATGATTTTCAAATAATGGACTGTAAACAGATTTTTGGCTCACTCTGAATACCTTTTTAAATGTTTCAATAACACCCATGAGTTAAATTTACTTCTCATTCTGGGTACTCTTCCTAATATTCTACATAGATTGATTCGATATTTACAATTTAAACTTAAAAATTCTAAGAGTACTTGGAATTCTGTTTATAGTATAATAACAACTTTAAAAATTTTTTGCAACTTCCTACAGAATAATTAAAATTATTATTAGAATTTATTAATTTTCTGATAGTATTTTATATATTCTGAGTATTATTTAAATAAATATAAAGTATAATAACACACTGAGTACCAAATTTTTACAAAGAATTTGTATAGCTTTCTATAATAATATCTTTTCTTAAAATTTATATAAAAAATTTATACTTAATTTGAATATTCAGAATATCAAAAAAGTACAATTAGTTCAATTTTATTAATAACTAACTTAATATTTATTTAATAAAAAAGTAAATTATATCTATTATTATTTTTTTCTTTAAATTATATATCACACTCTGTATATAGTAAAACAATAGCAAATTGTAAAAAGATTATTGATTAAGCCACTTATCAGTATTAGTATATTAGTATTATCACATCATACAGCAAAAAAAATGATAACTGTCAAACAAATGTTGATAATATCAGGAAATTTTTTGGGGTGATTTGTATTGATATGTATTATTAGTTATATATCAATATATATCTGAGTCATCGATACATATTGAAACAGATATTTGATATATATTGATATATATCAGAGTTATTGATATATATTATTTAATAATATAGATTGTTAAACAATATATATCTTATTAAGTACAATATAACTTGAAGACATGTTATCTTTAAGTTTAATAATTTAGAACCAATTACTCTCTATTTTATTATTAATTTATTTGTAATTTATTAATATTAATTATGTATTTAAATATCTTTGTTCTGTACTATAGCTCTTTAGATCTTTTTATTATTTAATAAATAAAGAAATAAGCTTTATTAAAATTAAACTGAAAACTATTTTAATTAATATAATTTATTTATAATAATTAATAAATTTATTTTAACATTATTCATGTAAGAAAGTATTCTTATAAATATGATCTCAAAGTTATTTGTTCATAAGATTTGAAGTATATAGTTGAGAAGGGAAGGTGAATTGTTTAAGTATTAAAAGATATTTATTTTATTCTATTATTTTTTTCAAGTTCTGACATGTTGAATTAGAGCTCAATTACAATTTATATTTATATATTTTCATGAAATACAAATATAATATTAAAAACAAAAAAAAATATAAAGAATTATTATATTAACTAAAATAGAATTTCCAATTTACTGAATATGAAAAGTAGAAAAATAAAGGATAAAAAATATAAATTTGAAGAATTTTGATTGGTTAAATTATATTTACTTGAAATAAATAAATATAAAAGTATAAAAAGTATAAATATATAAATATAAAAGTATAAAAAATATAAAAAATATAAATATATAAAAGTATAAAAAATATATAAATATATAAAAGTATAAAAATATAAAAAGTATAAAAAGTATAAATATATAAAAGTATAAAAAATATAAAAAATATAAGAGTATAAAGTAGAAAAATAAAAGTATATGAATATAATAGTTAATAATATATAGTGAAATTATATAATATTCTAAGTTCTTTATATGATTTTTATAATATTATAAAATATTACAAATTATAAAATTAATAATTTTTATAACAAAATTATAATACTATTTTGTATAATAAAATATTTAAATTGTTGTTATAATTATTTTTTTTATTGTTTAGTAAGAGTTGAGTTGTAACAATTTTCATATACTCTTGTAATTTCTTGTATCATGTCTATTCTTTTTTATGTTATGTTTATCAATTTTTACATAAAATGTTAGAAATTAATACAGATTTACATTTAATACTTCTTAATGTTGCGCTAAATAAATTAGATATGAAATATAGATTATATTATTAATTTGGATATATATTATTTTTAATTACTTTTATTTTTATTCATTCTTTTTTCTTTATTATTTTTAATTCATATTAATTATCTTTTATTATTATTTATATTTTATATATATTTATTAAGTATAGCATAATTTGGAGACACGTCAGCTTTAAGCTTAATAATTTAGAACCAATTACTTCTATTTTATTATTAAATTATTTGTAATTTATTTAACATCAATTATATATTTAAATGTTTCTATTCTATACTATAACTCTTTAGATTTTTTCACTATTTAATAAATAAAGAAATAAGCTTTATTAAAATTAAAACTGAAAACTATCTCAATTGATATAATTTATTTACAGTAATTAATAAATTTATTTTATTACTTTTCACGTAAGAAAGTATTCTTACAACTTGGTAGCAGCGAATAAAGATTATAAAACTATAACACACACTTTACATACACACTTTATACATATACTTTAAACACTCACACTTTATACTTATCAATACATACTATAATGAACTCACAACAATTTCAATAATTTATGAATAAATTTACCTCCTTGTTAAAAATCTTACTGATGCTATTCAATCTTATCAAAACCAATTGGAAATACAAAACCAACAGCTCCAATAGTTACAATAACAACAAGATGAAAATGCTACTGACAATAGTAGTGATCAAATACCTATCATAAATAATAATGATGGAAATAACAATCCAAAAATTCCAATCAAAATTACAATTTACAAAGGTGAACCAAATGAAAATGTTTTGGTTTGGTTATTGAAAATTGAAAGTATCTTTGCTGCTCAAAATTTTACCAATGATGAAGCAAAAATAAACTATACATCCACTAAACTTGAAGATGCAGCCTTTCATTGGTATCTCAACAAATTAAAGACAAATATTAATAATACTAATCCCACTTTTGCTAACTTTGATACTTTCACTCAATAATTATGCAATATTTTTCAACCACCAAATTATCAACAACATCTGAAAAGATAACTTAAACAACTTCATCAAACTGGTATAGTTCAAGAATATGATACCAAGTTTAGAAATCTTGTTAAACAAGTTGAAGACATGAGTGATCTAGACCAAGTCATTTACTTTATTAATGGATT